CTCTATTGACCCTGTCAAAGGCCTTATTCAAGTCGATAAATGTAGTATATAGGTCTGTATTTTGTTCCTGGCATTTCTCTTGAAGCTGTCTAGCAGCAAACACCATATCGATGGTTCCGCGTTTTTTGCGGAAACCGCATTGACTTTCGGGTAGGAGACCTAGCTCCAGATGTGCATTCAGGCGGTTCAGAAGGGCTCGGGCCAAGATCTTGCCTGCAATGGACAGTAGTGAAATTCCGCGGTGATTGTTGCATGTCTGGCGGTTACTTTTGTGTTTGTACAGGTGGATGATTGAGGCATCCTTGAGGTCTTGAGGTACAGTTTCCGTCTGCCAGATGATTTGGAATAAGCCCAATAGCTTATCCGTCAGCGCTGGTCTACCCTCCTTGTAGATTTCGGCAGGAATCATGTCGGGGCCAGGTACTTTGCCATTGGACATTGCTCTGTATCCTTGTATGTACTAACATTATTATGGTAAATGGAAAATTTACCATAAATTTGTCATATCTTTTCAACTGGGTTCGTCCTGTTCTATGTTTGCACACTGTCCTTTTTGGAGCTAATAGGCACATGTTTTGCTCTGTTAAGTCTTGTTGGAGTGTTAATTTTAATTCTGTAGGAAGCTACTCATTTATTGAGAGTTCAACTTGTGAATAATATGTGTGTCTAGCAAAGTAAAAAAAAAAAACAGTCAATGTCATTTGACTAACTAATCACAATACAAGCTCCAAATTTACACCTACATTTTTCAAAGGTAAAAATCTGAAATTGCACTGTTTTAGTGCTAAGATCAGCAGATTTCCTTTTAGAATCTACATTATTTATAGTAGGAACAGTATTAGCTCTTCTAGAAGGCACTTTAGCTGGGGACGGGGCTGTTTGTTCATCAGCTGATGAATTACCAGTTTCATTATTTCATCACTAGTACTAGTAATACTAGTACTATTATTATAATTATACGATTCATCATAATCAGTTCTGCATCGAAATCATAAAATCATTGTCTGAATCGTCATCAAAGTAATATTTCAACCTTTATTAGATCGATCACCAGATGGGTCAGGTCCTGATTTCATCTTTGTAAACAAAAATAAAATGGAAAATAACCGCTTCAAACACTTCATTCTATGTAAAAAAAAATCGTTCAAATAAAGAAATACTGGATGTTTTTTCAAAGGGAAATCATTCTAGATTTGATTTAAAATAACTAAAAACCAATAGCTAAGAAAAGAACCGAAATAAACAGGTTTTATTATCGTCGATCCACCAGTAACCTCATTTAAAATTGACGATTGGAGCGTTGATCCGGAGAGAAAGAGTTAACTCATTGTACAGAGGCATAAGACTTTTCATTTATTGAAACCCCTATAGTTGAAGCAAGTTAAATCTTAACTTTACACAATACCTCTAACTTAATAGCATACAAATTTTTTTTTTTAAATAGGCCACAGCTCATTCAAGATTTCTCCTGCCTTGAAAACATCAAGCTTAAACTATTTTTGAAAAGTAAGTTGAAAAAACAAACTAAATTCAGAAAATTAACTCTACCTTGATTTCGAGTCTTCTTTTTTCCCTTTCCAATGTAGCCATTTTTTCCACTCTGGATTCTAGCTCATGTCTATCTTTTTCCAAAGTTTCCAGTCTTTCAATCCTCCTCATGAGACGCTCCTTGTCCCGTTCTGATATTGTGACTTTGTCTTCTAAACCTTGCTTTTCTCTCAAGGCTGTGGTGATACGATGCTCCAGGTCAGCATTTTGTTGCTGCAGACGACTCACTTGGAAGCCCAGCTCTGCTTTAGACTTTTCTTGTGCATCATTTTTTGAAGAGGCTTTTTGTAACGATTCTATCTGGACCTAAAGTACAGAAATCATTGATATAGCTCTGTAATTATGGAAATGAGTCCTCATAGAGAAACTCAAAGAATGCATTATAAGCACATTCCCAAAATATAGATTAAAGGACTGCATTCAAGCCTAGTAAATGAATGAAATAGCAAAATGAGGTATGTGAAAGCTTGAATTAGAGAACAGGACAAAAAAATAAGGACGTTTCGGCATAAAGCCTTCTTTAGCTAACAGTAGAAATGAAAATATAACGTCCTTATTTTTTGTCCTGTTCTCTAATTCAAGCTTCCACATAATTCGTTTTGCTATTTCATTCATAAGCACATTCCAGTAGACTGAAATGGGTCTCTGTCAAATACAACATTGTTACAAAACTGAACCCAAATTACATTGCAAATTTTTTATCTGGAGACTAAATGAGGAAGCCACATCACTGAATCTGGTAAAAGAGCTGGCCTGTACTAAGTATGAGTGATGGAGCAGGACTATACTGAGCCATTCACTTCTGAAGTCTATACATTGTAAAAAAACAGCATTTACCTGAAGGTCTGTGTTCCTCTGCTGTAACTGTTGTAGATGTGTTTGTATGTCTGTATTTCTTCTTTCAAGCTTCTCCATCTCTAATGTCCTGTCATCTAGTAAACTCTGAAGCGTCTCCACCTAAACAGATTCATTGATGTCAATCAATCCATTAATCATTCTGGGGTGATGCTATCTACCATCTTTTTCAGTTAATGTATATTGGCTTGTGTTGCTTATGGTTGAAAAGGGATGAAAGTCTTTGACTTGGTATGCTCGTATGTAGTTTTATATTGTTGCGCCTGTTTTTTTAAATGTGGTAAATTTTAGATTGTTTTTATTTCTCTTTTAATATGGTTGACTTTGTACCGCGCTTCGAGCTTTTGGGGATGAAGCGTGTTTTTCAAATAAACTTTATTATTATTATTATTATTATTAATCTACGCTTCAATGGTTTTATTTTTTTTTCTCATTGCATAAATTTGGCGAAACTAACAAAGTAATAATTTGACAATGGGTTTTGTAAAGCAGAAAAATTACAAATGGACAAGCAACAAATTTGATCCCCCAAGAATGAATCTGTAGTGTAAAAAGAAAGGTAACATAATTGTACTTTATTCAGGAAAATCTAATGTTTATAATTTCCAGGAAGTGTATCCCACTAATTAGATCTAATAATCAGCTAAGAAACTTGCTTGAACTTAGCATTTGAACTTAACACTCTGTTAGACAAGTGACAAATAGTCAAACTCAAGCTCATCCACACAAAACTTGGCAGCACTTGACAGGTAAAAATCTGCTTACTTGTGTTGTAAGAGTTTCTTCTCTTCTCTCAAGCCGCTGCCGATCAGAGGTGACCTTAGCTAATTCATCCTCCAAAGAACGAACTTTGACCTCAGTCAACTCCACCTGACAGTCATAGCGATTTCTGGAAAAGGGGTGCATTTTTTGAAGAAGAAAAAAGTAATATTATATTTGCAATTGTTAGGACATATATTCTTTAGTAAAACAAATTAAAAGTACTACCTAACATTCCAATAGAATGAATATTGCAAATACACAACACAGTAATTTCATGATGAAAAAAAAAATTATTTCAAATGTCTTGTGTCCTTCATTCCACTGTACATATTTATAATTTGCCAACCAAAAGGTTTTCATTATCAGTTGACTGTGTCAAGTTTAATCAGTTCCAAATTCCAATAAATGAACAACACCAGTGATAAAATATTTCCTACATCACTCATACAGCTATATTTTACTTGTAATCTTGAGCCAGAGCCCTTTGCTCTTCCAGTTTCTTAATAGCCTCTTCCATCTGCTTTGTTTTGTGTAGAGCTGACAGGCGTGTCTTCTCAGATTCTTCTTTCACAGACATCAGTTCTGATTCTAAATCCAGCTTGCTTTGCTGAACTTCCTATGATTTTAAGATTTAGTAAAGAAAATTATTATTTTTTATTAAAAATAAATGAAGCGATAAAATGCAGCAAGATAAATATTTTTTTTTTTTAAAATGAACTTTCCTACATAGCTTACTTAGATTTTGCTTGTTACACTAAACTATTAAATGAATACTGAAATCACAAGACAACAGACCAAAATACTAACCTTCAGTTTTCTGTCACTATCTGAATAGTTGCTACTTTTGTTCAGATAGCTTCTCATTGTTTCCTGCAGCTCCTTAATGATTGACTTTTGTGCCTCTACCTCAAGTTGATAACTGGTGACCTGTAATAAATCAAGTTATGACAGAACTTATTTTTTTAAAAATATAAATGGAAAATAAGAGGAAAAAAGAAATGTAAGCTAAATTGAAATCAACACAAAGTTTAAATTATTATTTAGTTCAGATTAAAGCAATAAAATAGTCTAAAATAAAAAAGTTACAACATCCCTAAAATGATGAAAATGCACTCCTAAAACTCCTCTCCCCTAAAATATAAATGGAAAATAAGAGGAAAAAAGAAATATAAGCTAAATTGAAATCAACACAAAGTTTAAATTATTATTTAGTTCAGATTAAAGCAATAAAATAGTCTAAAATAAAAAAGTTACAACATCCCTAAAATGATGAAAATGCACTCCTAAAACTCCTCTCCCCTTCCAAAGTAGAAATATTTTGTTAATTTTTAAAGATCAATAGCAAACAAAACAAAACAAAACTTGAGCTAGGAAAGCTAGTATATCAGCTACAGCCCATGGCACATGGTCAAAGTTCAAATGAATAAGTAAAAAACTAATTAATGAAAACAAGTAATTTTAGACATATTCTAAGACAGCAATCAGTCCATTACATTTAATTTACTCCTATTTGTAAAATATAAAGATGACATCACAAAAGAAGTTCAAGTTTAAATGTTTAAGTATCTTTACCTTCTCCATTAAACTATCTTTCATTTTGCGACCCATTCCTTCTTTCTGTTTTAATGTGTGATTATCCAATTCAAGACTGTTTATCTTGGCGTTCAGTTCCTCTTCTTTCTCCCTCCAATCTCTAGCACTCTCTGCATATTTATCCACCATTTTCTGAAGTGCCTGGAATAATTGTTTACATGACCTGAATTTATATCAAGTGCAATTTTCTTCTAAATCCCTGACATATAGTTAGAATGAAAATGTAGTTACATGTATTAAAGACTAATGATGGTGTGATGTGTGAATAACAATTTTTCTTGAGAGGTATCAAGGATGGTGTGATGCATGGGCAACAATTCTTTGTGAGAGGCATGAAGGATGGTGAGATGTGTCAATAACAATTTTTTGAGAGGAGCATAGATCTGAAGTATGTTTGGGAAGAGACTACAATTAATTTTATTTAAACTTTAATAGAAACTAAATAGAAATTAAGTTTAATGCTGTTTTTTTTTAATTGTTGCCAAACAATAAGTTTGCCAATTAAATGATAACTTGAAATAAAACTAAGTGGCCCCTTATCTTTTGCTCCACTGTTTTTTTATTTACTGCCTTTTAATATTTCTCCCTAACCCCTCCTTCCCAAAATGTCTGATGGTAGTTTTCATTATAGAATATCACCATTTCACACTAAATACTTAATCCAACTATTTGCATACCTGTAATTTGATTAAAGTTTTATTATCAGAAAATGAGCACCGCCCAGCTTTGAGTGTCACATGCAGGGTTAGCTTCTTCTTAGAGGGACACATGGCATGATGCAAATTGTCCAACTCAACCTGAACAAAAATATGAACAAAACATTTCAAAAGCATCCTTTAACAAAATGAAAGGGTTAATAGTTAAAAAGTCAATCACATCAAAATTTCATTTTTTCAATTGAAATAGCAACAACAATATTTGTTCATGAAACTTTTAAAAAAATATTACCTCTGCCTCCCCTGTCCCACCAGACATTCTAACATTTGTGAGGGTAAATGTTGACAAATCTTGTAATGATGTATTTAACTTCTGTTGTAGTTGGTGTACTTCTGTGGCCTGTTTCTCCTCACTGTCTTCGTAAGCTTCAACCAACTCCTCCAGATCTCTAAGCCTGGCACTCAGCTCATCAATGGTTGCTTGTTTACTTTGCAATAAACTCTCCCAACTTTCATTACGAAGTTCAAGTAGCATAAAATCCTTATGGTGGGCTTCTCGAGATTTGCGCTTTTCTCTGTCCATCATTTTCTGTGTATTCTACATGAATGATTTGATTTTAAGATCACGTACCAGATTTGTATACCCTCATTATTGAGGCACAATATCACTTTTATAATAAAAAGAACTTTGTATTATGGGATCCTAACTATTAAGTCAAGCATTGTCCCTTGTTCAATATGCAATAAAAAAATAAATATTTAATTTTTGTGTGACTAATAATATTGTCACTAGGTACGAATTTACCTGTAACTTTGCATTTGCATCATTAAGCGCTTCGATAGTTTTGGCTAAATGGTGTTCTTTAACTCTCAGCTGTGATGAGAGCTTTTCTTGCTCTGTTTCCAGGAGAATTATTTCTGCTTTCATCTCTTCCATCTTTACTTCAAGCAATTCATCTTCTGTAAATGTTATGGTATCATAATTGGGTAGTGTTATATGCATGTCATCTAGTTTAAATCACATCTAGTTTAAATCACATGAGTAATATAAAGATATTTTTTTAAAATAGGTGGTTTCATTCTCTTCTATAAAAGTTGTTTTTTAAATTAGCCACCGCACAATTTAAACTTCATCGCTGCATACAAGAAATACAATTAAAACAAATTCAATAATACTCTACTTAACAGAGACAATCAACTAATAAAATGAATCAGATGAAATTATTTACAAACTCACCAATCATTCTAATTTCACTGTCCATCGAGTTCCACTTCTCAATGAGAGAAATACAGCGTGCTTCTGCAGGGATAACATTCCCATCATCCAAGTGCAACAAACGTCTCAGCTTCTCTATTTCTTGATCTTTCTCTGCTAAAATCTCAAGTGTCAGCTTATCCATATCAGCTAATGACGCAGAGCTGGAGCTCTGATCAACCAAACAGCCCTTGTTAAGCAGGTTACTATTATTCAGGTCACTCTCTGAAGAGCTTGAAGTGGTTGGACTGCCCATAAATCTGCTGCCTGTACTTTTGGAATCTTTAGAAAAAGTAAATCCAACGAAGGGTAGATCCTTTCCTGAAAAATCTCTTTGTGGCAGCAGAGCCTCTACATTAGGTTGACGCTTGACCTGTTCAACTTCATCAAAATGTGAAGTGTCATCAAGTCCATGGATAGATGGCACATATGGAGCTTCACCTAAATTGTTAATTTCAAAGGGAATGCTGTCAGTAATGCATAAAGAGTATTAATAACTTATAGCTGGCAGTGTCGAATTTTATGTTCTTTTCATAAACCAACACCATGAACTGGTTTAGGGGAGAAAAAAGATAACCCATAAAATACAGACTTATGTTTTTCCCCTCTTAAGTATTTTTTCTTCTTTAAAAAAAAATTTTAAAAATTTGAATTACTTAAAATAACTGAATTATTTAAAATACTGACATGGACATCTACAGACACTCAAGACATATAATAAGGTCTTTAACAATATTAACTTTGTGAAATTTTATACCACTGGGGACAAACTATGATAGCTCAAACTTCACTAACCTTCTCTTATTGTGTCCCAGTTCATACCCTGAAAGAATGGATGAGCCTTGATTTCAAACCAAGATAACCGTGACTTGGAGTCAGTCAGGAGTTTTTCTATCAAGTCCTTGGCTTTATCAGAGACATTACTATCAGCAGGGAACTTCAAGATATTCTGAAAAGTTCAAAATAGTGCAACCGCAAAATACGAAAACTGACCAACTTTTGTAATTTTTTCTTTTCCCTAAATGTAGCATAAGTTCATAGATGTATTTGTATTGAAATGAAAAAAAGGACTGAAAAAAAAATTAAGACAAAATAGGATTGCGTGCTGCTGTCTTGAAAACCAGTGCTCACCTTAAAGTTCATAATGTTTGCATATGTAGAAACCATAGAGCCATGATCATTTGTAAATGGTGTAGCTCCAAAGAGCATCTCATAAGCACATATCCCAAGAGACCACCAGTCTACTTCAGGACCATATGTTATTTGTTGTTTTACTTTATTCATTGACAATAGAAGTTCTGGTGCCACATAATCTGGGGTGCCAACTGGCATGTGAGAACTGACCTAAGATTTACACAGAAAATACTGCAGTGTATCAGTGAATAAAAATTTCTATACTTGTTATTCAAAGCAAAGACTTTTTACACAACAAAGCAACTAAATTGAATTATTTCTTTCATACAGTTACCATAACATTATAATAGACTTCATTTGACACACGAATATTTCTGGAAAAAATATGTGAACAGAAAAAGAAAGTAATTTATCAATTCTATAAAGAGGTTCAGAGAAAAAATGTGTTTATAAAAAAAAAAAAAAAGTGAACTTACCATTTTCTCTTCATTTAGTTTGGCAGCTGAACCAAAATCTGCTAATTTAATGTGTCCTGTGCAGTCAAGTAGAATATTTTCAGGCTTGATATCTCTGGAAAAATCAGCATTAACAAGTAATTAAACATTAATACGTTTCCCATTTTATTTAAAAGAAAAATAAACTTAAATGGAAAAAATTAGGATATGTCTACAATGTGAGGTTAGTTAAGTTATAAACAAATCAAATCTTTCTTTCTTTTTTTAAGTATAGGCTTTTATAAATTTGTGCGCGTATATAGTATTATTTGATCTGCATGAGACTTCAACACTTTCCTGAAGTAAAAGTGGACAGACATTGCAAATCCCATCTACATGCATAGGAGCCAAAATGATCAATAAATTGATCGTGGGCCCTTAAGATATAGAAGAAGAAGAAGACGTCATAATTTTTATTTTGGTTAAGTATTAACTCCTGAACATAAGGGTCTGGACTAGTAATGTATAAAGCTTGTTATGAAAAAGAAAATACCTGTGCAAGTATCCCATTTCATGTAGGCTGTTGATAGCGATGGCCATCTCAGCAATATAAAACTTAGCCATGTCTTCTTCAAAGATCTCATCATGTCTTTGGAGAAACAAATATTTACTCACTATAATTTGAATAACATAAAACAGTCATAAACTTAATCATTAAAAAAATAGAGATAATAGAAATAGCTTTATTTGTATACATCTTTAAGTCTTCTTCATCTAAGCCAATGGTTCTCAACCTGTGGGTCGCGACCCTTTTCACAGGGGTTGCCTAAGACCATATGAAAACAATATACTCCACAGTTACAAAGTATTAACGATAATAATATTGTGCCTGGGGGTCGTCACATCATGAGAAATAGTATTAAAGGGTCACGGCATTAGAAAGGTTGAGAACCACTGATCTAAGGCTTAATAATGTTTTTAAAACATGTATTACCAAAATTACTAATGCAGAAAAAGATGATAAATTAAAAACAGATTCAACCATATAAACTTCTCTAAATAAGAATAGTCTAGTACCTGGATAGGAGAGATAGTAGATCTCCACCTGCATGGAAATCCATAACAAGGTACAGATTTATAGAATCTTGGAAGGCATAATGAAGTTCAGTAATCCATGGACTAAGGCTAGTTCCCATTATGTCTCGTTCCTCTTCAAAACAGGAAATCTACAAACAAATTTAAAAAATTTCTTCAATGCTAAAAATAAGGAGAAACTAATCATTGTACTTTATTTTAGTGCCGTATTGGATAAATCGGGACAGGATTGGATAATTATGTAATATTTTTGTAATTTTCATTTTTTTTTGTGCACTATTTTCTTGCAATAGATTGTAATGTTTATTAACAGAAAAATAAAATTTAGCATAAAATCAAAGTGTTAGTGTCAATCATTAAAACAATTTACCTCTGGCTGTGCAAGCAAATCTGATTTCCGGAGAACTTTCATAGCAAATACAGCGTCAGTTGATTTCTCTCGCACAACTTGAACCTCACCAAAATGGCCTCTTCCAATAATAGCTTTCACTTCAAAATCTGATGCCTTCTTTCTTTTTCTTTTTGAACAAAACACAGCACTGTTAACTGGAAAATATTAGAATTCATGGGAGATTAAACATGAATTGATCTTTAAATTATTCCATTATTACCTTTTAATGATAAGTACCAGGTATGGTGTGAATATTAAGTTCATCAAAGGTTGGCCACAGCATTTCCATGGTGCAGTTTAAAAATATTTAACAAAAATGAAGTTCTTTATAACATCTTTATTTTTTTTGTACAACTTCCATTGTTAATCCAGATATCTCATAGCTCAGGTCAGTTAAAAAATAACCTGCACTTAATAAAAAATATGGTCTAAGATGCGTTTTATCATTTCGATAATTTTAGTTAAAGTGTCTACTCACAGAAGATATCAAATAATTTTTTTTTTACAAAATGTAATCAAAGGGGAAAAAAAGAAATAAATTCCTTACATTTCTTAACAAAAGATGACACAGCTCTTTTTTTCAAAAGGTTGTCATTAGTGCATTCGTCGTAGAGTGCAAGAAATCCATCCATTAAACATTCTTTACTGAGTGCTACATTTTGAAGTTCTGTAGTCTTTTGGCATACCTTCCTTGGAGATCTCTTGCTAGTTGCTGCCATATTTAAGATTTCCTTCCACAAATTTTAAACCTGGAATAAATGCTAAAAAATTATACTGTATAAGTATAGTATAATGATATATTTCATTAAAATTAATTTTGATATTGGGTCTTTTTACATTTTCCACTCCCAAGGTTTTGACTAATTTATGCAAAATATCAATTCTGTATAATAATTGGCTAATGCCATGACGTCATTTGCAGGTTTATTAAACTTTCAGTGAATTAAGGTTCAGGGATACATTTAGTTAGGTTTAGTGACAGAATTAACGTGTCGTGTTAACCAAGATGGCGGTCATGTGGCACAATCTCTGATATAGCGTCTGTAATTAAAAACATTAAAATAGACCCAAAACAGCTTTAATAACATGAAAATACACCCAAAAAAGCTGTAATTAACAGTTTCAAGTTTATTTAAAGCACAATTCTACTCTGAACCACAACAGACTGTCTAATTACTGATAGATATCGAAAAGCGTAATCAGGAAGTTCGGAAACATTCCTGTGCACCGAAACTGGTTACGATTTGCAAATTCTTACAGATATGATGGAAACAATGCATGACTAGTTCCAAATTGTCTTCTCAACTTCCACGTTGCTCTCATCCACATGTTTTCAATGTTCTGTGTATGCACTTCGCTGTTATCAGGATCCACGAAATTACGTTCGTGAACAAAAAAAAAAAAGACAACAGAATGCTCGCATATTCCGTGTCCGCTTTGATGTATATGTGCAAATGCAGCCCAGCCATCGGAAATGATGTGTGGCAAAATATGACCTTCTCAACAGGGTTGTAACGTGTCTGCGCGCCTGTATGGCACTTCCAAAAAGAAGCACTTCTGTGCTCGATCCCACCAAAGACTCAGTGGCCATCCCACCACTGATCACGATGATATTTTCTGTGGAAATATTTCGTTTCATCTATCTCCACAATTATATAGGTTCTCCTTTGACCACCAATTCCACCAATTTCGGTCACATTACGTTCCAGCCAAGTTCCACACTCCTCTCGCATGTAGTTGCACCAAACAAGTACAACAAGTTTTTTCGGCAACAGCTGCCTCATACTGTATCTGCATCTATAGCATATTATACGACCAACAATACACCATGGTGACAATTTGTTGTAATGATAAATGATGCGTGAAAATAAATAATTGCGTCGCACAGAAATGCGGTACCCACAACGGTCGCATGCCCATCCTCTACCGTCAATTCCCTGCTGGTACCGATTCAATGTGCACGGCTGATTGCATATTCTCATGATACTGTTGCGAATCAAATTGCGGCAGGCGCACCACTGTAATGCCGAATCAGGTTGTTGCAAGTGTGGTGAAAGGATCGACAATCGCCACTTTCATTTAACATGTCGTTTTCACTCAGTATTTCGGTGGTACAATAGTATTAGACACTCATGGTCTTTCTGCCTGGAGTCTGCCATTGTGGATTTAAATTTCTTTTAACGTAGAAACTTCCTGATGTCTGCTGAAGTATTTCTGGTATGGTAGTGGGTGCCGTCTTTCTAAGTATGCAATTACTTGAATTACCGACGCTATATCGGAGTTTTACCTCACTATATTTGGATGTCGTTTGTGGTAGTTTATTTTAGTTAAACTGAAGAAGTATGTTTACAAACATATATTATATATTCCATAATTCAATTATCTTTCATTTGATGCCAAATTTTATCTTACAAACACACCCAACCTCTCAATCTTTTCCGGGTCTGAATCCCGGGTCCCAATAATATTGATATTGATTAGCCATAGCCAACGTTTTATTAAACTGGTAGTGGATGCACTTTGACTTTTTAGTTTAATTTTCCGCTACCGACTTTTCACTATAAGTATAAGTGTGACTAGTAAAATAATAGTATGATTAGAAAATTAGTAGGATGAGTATCAATTATATTGTTTTTATACGGTATACAGTATCATGAATGTATATCTATTTGTCACTTCTTAGTCTTAAAATGTCATTTAAAAATTGTCAGGGAGAGGAACGCCGCACACCCCGGGCCCGGACGGCTAACGAAACCTTACAACGACGAATGTTTTGTCTTATTAATTAGGGGCCTCTGAAGCATAATTATAAATTATGAACTATGGCCTCCTAATACAAATATTGTTTATTAAACCAGTCAGTTATAGATAACTAATGCTAAATTTTGCTAAATTTTACAGCACTAACCTTTTATTATAGTTTCAGCATCTTTGAAAGTCCCGCAGCTCGCATTATGTAAATATGCCAGGTTTTTCCCTTTTGAGCCGTAACTATAATTAAAACCAAAAAACACTGATATTTCAATAGATTGAAATTAAATTGGAAACAAGAAATTAAATTTATATTAAAACATAATAATTTAAAGAAATCTTTATGTATATTTTTCCATATTACTTATCCTTTAAGCGATGAGACGTAAAATATTTTGCTGACATGGTTTTTGTTAACGATTTTATTATCGTCTCAACCGGCATTTTTATTTAACTTCTGACCAATCAAAGGCGCTTATTAATGTCGAATCAAAGTAAAGGGGATTTATTTCTAAATTAAAATAAAATATGGCCTCTACTTTAAATTAAAAAAAACAACCCCTTAAAACAAAGTTTTTCCGTATAAATCAATTATATACTGTAATATCGAGCAATGGGGGTGGGGCTAAAAATTAAAAAAAACATGCATACAAATAACACACTTTATAAGAATCCCAATTAGCCCCCCCCCCCCCCCCCCCCCCCCCCCCCCCCCCCCCCC